GCAACACTCTGAGGCTGCAGGTAGCATGCTCTAATTACAGGGTTGTGTGAAATGGGTGGTTGAAGACTGGACCGGAGACCCTAATGAGGCCTCTGCCCCTTCATCTGGGACATCACAGTGGTTCTGAGGGCAAAAGGACACGTTTCCGTGAAGCAAGAGAATTTGACTTCGCAGCAGGATCAAGACAAACTAAGTTGTCGGGAATGGTCCTTAGCATCCTTAAAACACAATGAACTCCAAGTTTTCATTGTTTGTTCCAAAGCATATTGCATGTGGCTTTTCCTCTTGTAGTTCACATGATCAATTTTTAAACAGTGCCTTCGAGGCCAAATGCCATTCTCCAAATGAAAAAAGAAATCAGGAACTCCAGTTTGACAGGCCAAAGGATCATCCGCAGGAGGGAGATGCTTTGGGGCCTGATGTGCAGAGAAGAGACGGAGGGAGGAGGCAACCGCGGGACCGGCCTTCAGAAGGGATGCTCCAGGCTCGGAGTAGAGGCCAAACGCTTCTTGTGTGTGTTTCCCCGCGGGGCAGCGGAAGGAGAGAAAGTACCAAAGCGAACTTCGCAAGTGACCTCCAATGTAACAAAGAGTGTCTGGGGGACACGTCATTGCCACAGGGACCTACTTGAGGCGATGTGAGGATTTTGTTTCTCATATTATAGATGTTGTACAGTCAGACAGCTAGTTGGTAGGCTTCAGTTAAAAAAAGTGTTTTCTGAAACCATATTAGCGTGACGGCAAGGTACTTGATGGCTGAGGCTCTCTCAGCACCTTCATTCATTCATTTGTTCATCGATTCATTCAATGAATGCCTCCTGTGTGCCTGGTTATACACTGAATATAAAGCAGTCATGGTTATTTACCCAAGTGGAGATTGAAATCTAGTGGGTGAAGGAATCATTATATAAGTAGGTCCTTGTAGGCACAGCCAAGAGTTTAGGATTTCAGGGCTGCGGGGAAACATTTAACAATTTCAAGTGTGATCTGAGTGAGGAGGTTACTGCAGGAGGCACAAACATGAGACAGTGGTGGCTTGGATTCATATAGTGACAGTAAAACTGGAGAGAAGTAGATGTATTATTGGGGAGAGCGCATGTTTTAGAGGTAAAAATGGCAGGATTTGAGGATGGATACAGTTGACACAATGAGACAGGTGATTGGCGTGAACAGCTTGAGATGTCTGTGTAGTCACGTGCCACATCACGATAGACCACAGATAATGATAATAGCAAATAGCAAAGCTCACATTTGTTGAAGGTCCTTCTGCTATAGGACCTGTCTTATAAGCTCAGTGAGAGTCAGTTCTTTGCCTCCTTAGAAACTGGGACAGCACCTTACAAGAAAGGTTTACTGGAGACTGGGTGACAGTGTATGACTGACAGGATTCAACCAATCTTCTAGTTATAATCCATGGCCCAAATCTGATATATGCCCCTGATCAGTTGGGGAACCTAAGTGATTCTGAAGGGTTTAGGCCACTGGGTTCCTTAGACATTTTTTTTTTTGAGGCTACTTAGATTTTTATTCCTTCCTCATGTGCAATGTTTCTAGACAATCCACACATCTTGAATAGCCATGAAAAATCATTTCTAACATCCATGATGCTACTTAAAAGACAGCCTCTGGTGTTGATCAGAGATGTCTGGTGCACAGCGTTCGGAATGTGGGCTTCTGACTGGAGTCTTTCAGATGGGAACCAGGCACCCCTGGGAGGTATAGTCCCAGTTAGGATCCTGCAGATGTTAACTCACCACACCTGGCATGTAAACTAAGTCTAACATGTGTGAACTGTACTGTCTGTGCTCAGGTATTTTGAATCATAGCAGTATAACAAAATATGGTGGTGATTTTAAGCTTTTAAATATTTTTAAATTATAAAAGCAATGCATACTCCTTGTATACAATTTAGGAAAAAAATATATTCATGTAATTGAAATGACCCATATCCTATACCCAGAGATAACTTTCAACATTTACACCTTTTTTCATATCTACAATTATGGAGATATTTATACATGTATATACACTTTATTATTACACTAGACAGAAGGATACTTGCAATCATATTTTATGTGCAAATTTGAACCCTTTTGTGGCTTAACAGATCATGATCATTTTTTTGGCTCCTACATTGTTCTTTATAAATGTGATGGTCATTGATTAAGAAAAATGGCAGATGCTTAGGAGGAGAAATTGACCAGCTTGGTCAAGAAATCGGAAGTTGGATTTGAGGGAGGGGTGGTTAGAGTTGACTCTTAGACGCCCATGTTAACAGATGGGACAGTCTCTTTCCCCGAGCAAGGGCAGGTTAGGGAATGATTTTCTGAGGCCATTCGCACATGGTTGGGCTGTAATTTCCAGCCCACTTCCGGTTTCTTCCTTCCTTTTTTCTTCCTGTGTTGACTTCTTGGAGTAACTTCTAATATCAATGGAGATTTTTCTTTCAAATGTGTTTTTAGTACATAGAGGTGTCATTTAAAAGTCAAATCTATGGAGGAATATTTTTTTACCTGCTGAGTTTAATTTCAGGTGTCAGTGTTATCATAAAATGCAAACCCGCTAGACTCTGTTTTAAAACTTTGTACAAATTATGCCAGTTGAAATGAACTGATGCAGGTGGAGAGAGGGAAAGGAGGAAAATAAGTGTTTTAAACAGTTTTTTAATGTTATTTAAATATTAATGCCACTTGAGTTCAGCTTCATATACATTCCTACTTTCTCTCGAAGTCTAAATGCATCTATAGCTTTCCAATTATATTTATGTTTATTGTACTTTGGGGGGGGGTCGGTAATATGTGTGACCCTGAGAAAGAAAATAGTCATAAGCTTCAATATGAAGGATTGAGGTTAGATCAAAAGGAAAAGGCCTCGAACAGTCGTCAGAATCAATTACTCAGGGAGAACCGAGCCTACGGTGTCTGTGCCATAGATGCGTGTAATCTTTGGCCAGTTAATGAATCTTTCTAGGCCTTAATTTTCTCATCCATAAAGTGGGGATGAAAAATAGGTTATTTTGAGAATTAAACAAGTAAAAACACAGAAAAGTGCTTCATAAATAATAAGTGCTACTTACTGCAAGTTGTCTTTACTGTCGTTATGAGTGAACTGTAAACAAAAAGTGACTTTAATGTGGTACTACCTCCCAAAGGAGATTTGAGTAAGTCCATCAGGTTTAAGTCACCCATTTGGCATGTCAGTGAATACCTATTCGTTGGGATGTTTTCTACTAAATTCTATGGCAGTGGAGGTAGGGGGAGGGAAAAACCTAAGTAAGGCTTCTCTTTTGTTCTAGGAAGGGGACGATCACCCTACCATGTGCTGATCCATCATTGCTAGTCACTTATTTGAAGGCTCTCTCACTTAAGCCTCATAACCACCCTTCTAGACAGACAGAGTAGCTTCTCTGTACGGATGAACAAAATGAAGCTTACTCAGAGAAAGGACTTGCTGAGATCACAGCCTGTCCCGGGTGATATCTGGATTTGAATCCACATCTGTTTAACTGGACAGCCTTCTCCCCCTTTACCTCTTCTTCCCGAGAGAACCCCAGTGTCCCCTCCATTCTCATGCTCGGTGACTACCTGAGTTTGTCCGTGGGATTGGTGTCTCATGCTTCAGAATGAAAAACCTCCCTAGGGGGAACTTTTCTCAAGTCAACAGTCTTTGTTTAAAAAGATTTCGCGTTTTTGGCTTTACTCTCTTGTGCACACCCTCTAGCCCTGTGGTCTTTCATCTGTTTCAAAAGAGGGCCATTTAGGAAAGAGTCAGTGCCGAAGAGAGCCTGGCGTTGACAGCCGGGAATGGCTCCATTAGGTGTTTATTGCCGGCAACTTGCTGAACACAAACTCCTGAAGCTTGAGAGGGTCGTCTTTGGTTAGAATCTGATTCCATTTATTTGTTCTACAGACAATTATCAGGCGCCTGCAGATGACAGGCAACATGCTGAGTCTCGGGGAATGCCAGGGGAGTCTGGGCCGGAAACACCAAGGCTGGCGGGAAAGGGAGACAGTTCAACCAGACCGTTGTCATATGGGGTTTAATTAAGGGTTATGGCAGAGGGAAGGACCCATCGTGGGACTATCCAAGGGGACAACCAAACTAACTATTCATGGACACCCGTTCTTGTGTTGATCTTCTCCCTCTTTGTGAACGTGTCTCAGCCAGGCTTCTGCATGGTCTAAAGACTGCTTGCTGCAGACTAGTTAGGTATAGGTCATCTCTACATTCCTCCCCATTCTCAGCACATTTTAATTGTTTCCATGCCTTCTGGACATCTTCCATATTAATGGTAGAAGCTATTGAGATAATCTCGGCTCAGTATTTTTAGGCTTTCAGCTGTGATTGAGATGGAGTCTCCTGCAGGTGATATTGTGGCCTATCCAGTCTCCTTTCCTTTGAGTCCGCTGTCAGTCAGCCCCGCGTGCCTCCTGCAGTCCCCTCTGCCTGGAACACGGAAACCGTTCTGCCATCTTGGCTGCACATGGATCCGTCAGCAGCGTCATTGTCCTTCCGTGGAGGTTCCTCCGAATCTCAATTTTCACATTCTTGGCATGCCCGTGGATGTTTTATGTTGGTCTCTCTCGATAGACTGTGCTCTTCGAAGCCAGCCCTCATTCTGGTTTTTCAAAACACAGCAGTCGGTTAGTGCTTGGTACATACGGGGTGCTAACTAAATGCTCCTTTAATAAGTGTGTTAGTTCCGGCTTAAAAACTAAACTGTACTATGAAACACGGTTGTGTGTGTGTGCGCACGCATGTTAGGGGAAGAGAGAGATCCTTTTGAGTTTTTATCATCCTCCATTTGTTTATTTTTTTTAAAAGAACTGTCTCTGTTTTGATAGACTGCAAAACTGCAGCATCATCTCTTGAGATAAAAGGTTGGTAGGAAAGCGTAGACCAGTCAAACGAATTTCAGCATCTACGGGATATTTCTTTTGCAATTTGCATTTATTTATAGTGCTGAGAACTCAGCCCTTCTCCTTTGCTCTTCCTTGACAGAAAGTATTATGAGGGAGGCCGAGGACTCCATGCTCCTGGCAGAGAAACGGCGCTGGGATTAGGGATTGCCACCTCCGAGAGGATGCTGGGAATCTGCAGAGGGAGACGGAAATTCCTGGCTGCCTCGTTGACTCTTCTCTGCATCCCAGCCGTCACCTGGCTTTACCTGTTTGCAGGGAACTTCGAAGGTAAGAAGGAAGCTTTGCCAGAGTGAGAAGGAAGAAAGAGAACATTGTCTGTCCCAGAGTCCTGGGAAGAACCTCCAAGTCATCTAATCTCAATTTGTCATTTTGTAGAACAGTGGATAGATACTGATGCCCAGTCACAGGAAAAGACTGGCCTAGGTAGTTGGAGGGAGTCAGTAATGTAAAAAGAAAAACATAAGCACAGAAGCAAACTAAGGTGCACCTAGATGAGGGGGCATGGCGGAGGTTACACAAACGTTAAATACTAGCTTTGCAGGTCGATCAACGTGTCGATAATGGGGAAAAGGTTGGGCCCTGGAGGGACTCCTTAGCTATTCATGGAACCAGACGTTTCATTCATTTTTCCATCTATTCATTTATTTATTCACACGTTCAACATGTTGTTGTCACTGTGGCTGTTTAACGTCTACGCTAAACCAGGTGCCGGGCATACGGCGATGGCGGATCTGGACCTTCACAGGACAGGGGAGGAGACAGACAGGTGAACACAGGATTGCTGCACATTGCGATGTGTGGTATGAGGAGGCAAGCTAGGGTGGTGTGGGAGATGGCTGTCTGAGCTGTCAGGCCAGGCTGGGTATAAAAACTGATCTGTCCTGATGGGTTGAGAACAAGAATACAACAGAAGAGTTGCCATCCCCAAACAAATAAAAACAAACATTCATCACTGCCACCTTCCAGAAGTCAGTAGAAAAGACTCACCATTCTTCCAGCCGGCAGTTTCAAACGCATTGCAATTTGTTGCGTATCAAAGATGGTTTTCTAAGCTTCTGGGCAGGAAGGGATGGCAGCATTGATGAGCACACTTTCTTTCTTATTTACGCCCCCACCCCCCCACACTTGAGTTAAAAGAAAAATTAACTCAAATGAAAAGCTGTCCCAAGGATGTCACTACTGTGTTTTTAAACATTTTCTTTATGCATAATTTTATTGACAGCTCAAGGCTACCTTTTAATTAGGAGTTCCACTTCATTTTCTGAGATTTGCCCTGAGTTAGCTGGACTGAATATAAACGAGGTAGAACTAAATGCCTGAGTAACAAGGAAGGGTCGAGCGCCACACCCCTGTCACTTTCCTGCCCCACACATCCCTGGGGTGGTGGAGCTTTCATCGAAGCAGCTAGACAGAGTAAATTATGCTGTGGTGGTGTGGATGGTTGGCTTTTGGCAAAAGAATCAGCGGGAGGAAGGTGAGTCGGTGTTGACCCTGGCAGAGATACAAGGAGGCATTCTCCTAGGGTCGGTGGAAGAGCCCTTACCCGAGGCAAGAGGACCCCGGGTGTGAGTCCAGGTCTAATCCACTAAAACACTGGCTTTTAAAGTATTACAAGACTGATAAGAACAACAATAATAAACAATAATGATGACAATGACAACAATATAAATTACTAGTATTTTGAACATTTCTACCTGCCCAGGCATGATTGTAAGGACTTTTACGTGTGAATTCTTTCTTCACAATACTCCTGAGTAGTAGGTATAGATGAGGAGGGTGAGGCAACTAAGCTTCAGTGATCAGCCAGAGGCCCCAAAGCCGGTGGAGGCGGGGCCTGGGTTGCTGGTCTCCAGGGCTGGGGTTGCTAAGTGCGGCACCATGTTGTAGACCGGGGCTGCCGTGAGGTGGCGATATTGCCTCTGATTGGCTCGTCTCTGGTCACTCCCCGTCTGGAGACCAATCACTGTGATTGCGGGAGGCTGGGGAGGGCAGCCCTGTGCTTGTTTCTCGTCATGAGGTAGAGTGGAGTTCCTGATACGGGGAGAGGGCTGGCCCCCAAAGTTGAATGGTGCGGTTTCCCAGAGGGGAGACTAGAAGGTGATCTGAGTGGTGGAGAATTCATAACTGGCTGTGCTTAGCGATGGGTTGATGTCAGCTTGAAGGCTGCCTTCCAGCACCATGCCATCTGGCCCAGTCCTGGCTGATGGAGTGACTGTGATCCTTGACTGAATAATTTTGTTAGACTACCAGATAGATGATAGGAAACTGGGAGGATCCAGAAAAGACTCTGAAGCAACATGCAGAGACCGGGCGTAGGTACTCTGTCAATACAATGCTCAATAATAAATCCTACCCTTGAGACCAAATCACGACCTGCATTAAGTAGGGGCTGGATGACGAGGGTACATCAACAGAAGTATTCTCACTAGAATGATGAAGGTGACAGATTTCTTTCACTGGGGGTCTCAGTCCACAGCTGGCCCACTGCATTTATTTCTGGACGCCATACTTTAAGAACAGTCTGCAGGCGAGTCAGCAGACTTGGGAGAATCTGGGTGAATGACAGTGCCAATTCAAACCTCGTTTCAGGAGAAATAGTGGGAAGAATCGGGGCTGTTTACCTTGGAGAAGCAGAGGCGTCGGGTGTACACGATCAGCTTCAGCAAACAGCCAAAGGGCTGTCACCTGACAGAGAAATTAGGACTACTCTGATGGCCCCTGAATCTATAAAGGGACGTGGCGGGGAGCCAGAGGTCTAGCTTATCATAATGAGGATCATTCTGTCCAGCGCTGGAACGAGCTGCTCTGGGAAGCAGTGGAATACTCGGCACGGGAGACGTGCAAACAGAAATGCAGTGTGATGGGAGCGTGTTGAGCGTCAGGTGCAGTTGGACCTCTAACCTCCTGGCCCAGGAACCTGAGATTCTAGAAGAAGCTGTGTATTCATCAGGAGACAGAGGCCACCACGCAGCTCCGGCCAGTCGCTGCAGACATCTGTGCACTTCCCAAAGGGGCTGCGGAGACATTCTTCTCTCCAGTAAAACACAGCCTTGCAATCTATTTATCGACACCCTTGAGTTTTCCGTTTCAGGGCAGGCGGGGCCATAAATAAGATATGGAGTTGCTGTCTGCTTTCTTGGAAATGCTTTCCTACTCTTTGTGGGTCTATTTATTTTTCAACCTGTTTAATTTCAATGGCTCTCCTGAGAGCAGAGCCTAGAACCCTCCCTGAGATGCAGACGTTTGGTGTTACACAGCATGAAGCTGCACGTGTATTGAGAGAACTAGATGGGTTCAGACATCTCAGGCCCTAAAATCAGCCAGGAGCTGGGTGACATGGGGGCCTAACCACTCCTCTTTCTAGACTATCTTCCCCTATGTGAAATGACATTGTAAAAAAATGAAGCCCACCTATTGGGGGCACTGACATTCTACAAGAGTATGATGCTCAGCATCTGTTGTGAGTTGGAAATGGCCAGAATCTTCTCCAACCAATGGGAAAGATGACAGGAAGAAGGAATGACTTCTTGTGATTTGCTTCTGGGTGGAGACCCAGGATCTAGACCCAGGATCGGTAGGGACGTGGGCATTTTCTCAGTGTAAGAAAGAACGCCTGTTCTAAGCAGTAGATTTGCCAGGGATTGGAATCCACCATCTGAGAAGGTGATGAGATCCCCATTCCCAGAACTGTTTGCCAGAGGCCACGTGACCATTGGTTAAAGATGCTAATTGGGACTATTTTGTTGATACTTAACACCCAATTTGCTAAGTCCTATTTCTTACTTTGTTTCTTCCCAAATCCCCCTTTTTCTCTACCTTCTCAGTGAACAATCCCAGCTACTCGTCCCTCAAGCTCTAAGCTTTGGAATCGTCATTCTCTTCCATCGTCCGTTCCCTCCATTGTGTGGTTGCCACATCCTGTTGAATCTGATCTTGGCGTCCTTTGCTTACTCCCTTTCTCCACGGCTGTTCCCCTGGCTCAGCCGTTCATCCTTTGTGATCAGGGCTGACGCAGCAGCTGGGGCCCTCCTGCACATTTCTTCCACCTGCTTGAGAGTAGCCAGAGCTACGAGCTTGATCACAGCACCGATCTGCTCCTTGTGGGCCCCTCTGGCCCCATCTCCCGACGTCCCCGTGTGGACTCGCACAGCCCGGTATGCACTGCCCTCTGTGGCTTCGGGCTTCTCACATGCTGTTCATTCTCCTGGAGACACTGCTGTCCTTTGGTCCTTTTTGCTCCCCTTATTTGCTTGGCTGACTTGGGTCCTCCTGTCTCAGCTTTAACGTGATGGCTTCTCACTCTTCACTCTGTTGGTTTCCTCTGCTGGCCGCCCCGCCCCCCCCTTCTGTAGCTTCCTCTTCTCCACATCGCGACACCTTGTTTTTCTTGTTTATGTAATCTCCTGTCTTCGTGACTGGCTACAAGCATCAGTAGGGAAGGGAGCGGTTCTCTCATGCCCATCCTTCCATCTCTAGTACCTACTACGAGTGCCAGGAGAAGAGCTGGTCCCGAGTGTTCACTGAATGAATGAGTGAAGGAAGAAATGTGCCCTCTTCTGGCGTGGAGTGCCCACAGCTCTCCGTTACGTCCTGGACGAACTCCAGATTCCTTATCATAGCTCTGGGGTCTTTCAGGAGATTTTGCTTAGCGTGTAATTTCTTCTTCATTCAGGCGAGTGCCTCATCGAACTCCCTGAGAAAAATCCTGCTTTGCCGCATTTTAAGTTTTGCTCTGGTCCCTTTGCCCAGACTACAGTTCTTTTCTCTACGACCCTTCCTTGCAGCGAACACCTTCAATGCCCATGTTCAATGTCCTTTTCCCCTGCTGTCTGATTCTGTGTGCAAACGTCTGTCGTAGCCCTCACCGAGCGAAACTTTGCCTGTCTGGCGTCTTTCTAGCCATTCACCTCTGGAGTTTCTCAAGACAAGAGACTGCTTTATTCATTTTTACCCTCCCAGTGCCTGAGCATCACTGTTAGTGGGAGCTTTTGACTGGAAAGGATACTGAGGGAAGCAGGAGCCACTGGTAGGCAAGGGCTCCGCCTCATGCTCTGAGCATCTGTAATTTTGAGACCTCAGGGTAGGGCACCACGAGCATCGCCTTCCTTCTGGTTGTGACGTGAATTTTGGAACTCGAGTAATTCTGCTCACACACACCTCCATGTGAAAGAGATCGTGCTTGTTATTTTTCTACCAGTCACCTTTTCTCATGGGCACGTGAGTTTTATTTGTGGGATGTGGTTTGGTTTTGTCCTTGTCAGGGAAAT